GCACGGACGATGCCTCCGGCCGTGCCGCCTCCGCCTACGACCTTGAGGACACGACCAGCCACGCCGTGCCCACCACGGGTGCCCTGTACGCGCCCTCCTCCGCCTGCTCTCCCATGGACGCAGCCATCGGCTATGCCTCCCCGGTCGACGCCGTGGCCGCCCTAACGCCACTCACGCTCACCACCGGCGTGGCGCCAACCGGCTCCTGACGCGTTTGCCGAAGGAGGATCTTTTTCGGAGCGAGCCGCAGGAGAGTCCCATGTCCTTCGACGCTGCAAGGGATATGGCGGTCAGTTTGTAGAAAAAAATCGTTAAGATAAAAGGATGAAAAAACTCTTGACTCACCCTGACGCCATCATGCGAGGACGTTTTGGGGCCGGCTTGCTCAACCCCGGCCGCTCCTTGTCAGTACGTTGCCGCTTCGAGCCCTCACTCGGCTCGGAGGGCTCGAATGAATTAGAACGGCCGCCTCCCGCTGACTCCAGAGGCGCCGCCGAGGGCTCGGACGGAGCGGGGCGACCTGTTTCCATCGGCTTCGAGGCCACCATAGATGGCCCGGACAGAGCAGGACGGTCTGATTCTGTCGGCTCTGGGCAGCCGTCGAAGGCCCAGACAAGGCGAGGCGGCCTAATTCCACCGGTTCTGAGGCCGTCGTCAAAGGTTCGGACGGGGCGGGGCGGTTTGATTCCGTCGGCTTCGGGGGCGTGTCCTCCCCCTCCTGCCCCGTGGCATGCCGCAGGAAGGGCCCCACCTGTGCTGAAGGTGGATCCTCGTCCTCGACGCTAGATCATCCCACGGGATGGGCGACCCGGAGCTATCATCCTCCTCTTCTCCCGATGAACCTTGACGCCACTTCCCTCGCTGCAGCTTCGCTTGCTGCTTCGACCGCAATTTCTTCTCCTCGTTGTCCTTCTTCTTCTTCCTTTGTTCATCCACGACACAGTTCGTCGCCCTCACGACCGCGTGCTCTGGCAGTGACGCGATAGAGTCCCGAAAGACTAACCCCACCGGCTGCTCGATGAAGCCCGCATCCGGCCGCATCATGGGATGCTCCGGGATCAGGAACACGGCATCGGCCTCCCCCATGGCCTCCTTGATGCGCTACGCGACCTCACTATAGTGGAGTAGCCCCTGGGCGAGCGTTGTCCCGATGAGCTACGCGTCGAGCGTCATCCCGTACAGCGAGAGGACGCGCGCCATTAGCGGCGCCACCCTCCTTGCGTGATACCCCCGATGACGCCGGCCCCATGGAGGCCGTGGGTCTTTAGGAACACAATGGCCTATAAGAGGTCACGCATTCTCTTCTTCTCCTTGATGGGTGGTCTCCACGGCCATGATGGCGGTACCTCTTCGACCAGGCACCCGGAGAAGACCAGCAAGGGAGCAGCAAGGTCGTCCTTCAGGTAGAACCAATGTGAGTGCCACCCCTTATTGGATATGGAGAGCTAGCAGGGCATGTATTCGGCCACCCGCTGCCCCCGAAGGTGGATGCCCGCGCATCCCATCGGCACCAGGGTCTCCCGGCCTCTCTCCTTCTTCTTGATCTAGAAGATGGAGAAGAAATATCTCCACAGCTCGAAGTGGGGCTCGATCCCTAGGTACCCCTCGCACATCGCGATGAAGGCCGCGATGTGTTGGATTCCATTAGGGTTCAAGTGCTGCAGCTCGATCTGATAGGGGTGCAACAGACCCCAGAAGAACGGGTGGGTAGGAACCATGAGTACGTGCTCGTGGAAGGGCGCGAAGGAGACGACGTAGGCATCGGGCGACGCTGGTGCATCCTCACAGCCAGGCACAAGCCAGTCCGCCGCATCGATCCTCCCATGGAGAAGACCACGCTTGACGAGGCCCTCCATCCACGCATGGGTAACATCGGAGCGGTACCACGAATCCATAGAGGATGGAGGTGGCTGCCAAGAAGCAAAGGCGGCGACGGAGAAGCGGAAGCTATAGATCTAGGGCTCCGGCGGTGGATTAGCAAGCACGGCAGATTCGAACAGCGGCGGCGGAGAAACGGAGAAGTTAAGGCTATGGTTTTGATGTGCAGAAACGTGAAGAGGGAGACTGCTATTTATAGGATGGAGCGAGGTGAGAAGGCGAACCATCCGCCTAGGTTCACGCGCCTGTTGCGTCGTGTCACGTCACCTCCCTCCGAAGATCGTGTGCACGCTATCTCTGGCCACGCCCTCAAAGGACGCACTGGATGACGGTTCGCTCGATCGATGGGCCAAGAACCATCGCAGGTAAGGAGGGATACATAGCTGAAAATGCTCCTACGACCCGTTCAGGACTAGGAGTTCGAAGGCTAGACCGCCGACGGATTCACAGCCGCTCTGAGGCACCCTTAGAGCGAGGGGTGGAAAGGGATGGACCCACTAGCGGCCAATACCCGGGCGCACAAGCGCCGCGGGTATTCCGGCCCACGTTCGAGTCTTGGTCGATTACCAGTCCATGGTTTTTCCTCGAAGAAAGGCAATGAGCCCTTGGGACCAGCCGAACAGACCACCTAAGAACTATATGGATTGGCCGCCAAGGGTCTGGAGTCGGTCACCAGCTGACCCATGCCGGACCCGCGCGAACGGAAAGCCGAGGCCCCACTTGGACTAGCCCGTTAACAGCTCACCGAGCAGCATGTTTCGTCCATCGAGGAAAAACATGGCACGGCTCAGCCCCTACGTTTTATAAAAAAACGCTTGAGGGATGACGATCACAAAGACGAGCCGACCCTCGACCGGACCCCTGCTACGCGCAGGGGCTCTAGGGAAATTGGACTCGCAAGGAGACCGAACGCGCGGTCGCAGTACGACGGCGGAGCGATCGGATCCTAGGGGACCGGAATCAAGAACAATCTTTCCGACCTCCCGAATCCTACGGTTATATGCCCCCTAGAAGACCGATCGCGACAAAAGGGAATCGCTGTCCTACTAGGACACGCCGCGGGCTAAAAAAGAAGACCAAGACCCTCAGAGTCCTTCCATCCGGAAAAACCTCTAAAGGAGTATTCTACTCCTCCGCTGGCTCGGGGGCTACTGTCAGGTATCGATATTAGGGATACCCAAAGCAAGGAAGTTAGCACCCACGCTGACTTCCCCGGATGGCTCGAGACGTATTAAAAGGTCCCGCACGACCCCAAGGTCGCGGGCTTCGTCTCGCCCGACCCCTTGGGTATGGGCTCCGTCTCGCCCGACCTCGAGGACGCAGGCTCCGTTTCGCCTGACCTCGAGGACGCGGGCTCCATCTCACCCGACCCTTTGGGTGCGGGCTCCGTCTCGCCCGACCCCAAGGACGCGGGTTTCGTCTCGCCCAACCCCTTGGGTGCGGGCTCCGTCTCACCAAAGGTTGCGGGCTACGTCTCGCCTGACCTCGAGGATGCGGGTTCCGTCTCGTCCGACGGAGACCCATACCGCCGCCAACCACTCCAGGTCCAAGCGTATGGGCCTGGGTCAAAACTCTGACGCCAGGGAAGAGGCTGGCACGCCTCGATGTAACCCGTGGGTATGACGGGCCATACCTGGGGATTCGTATCAAGAACAGTGTCGGACATGTTGGTGCTATTCTGCCTAATCCTCGTACGGACGCTGACAGGCGCGTCAGTTCACCACGACGTCCGTCAGGACGGAGTGAATCGCCATGATCGGCAGATGACGCCTGTGCATGACGCTAGTGACGAACAGGGCCACGACATAGAGCCGTCCCTGTTGACATCTACAGGATCAGCGAGACCCGCATGAAGAAAAAGGACTCAGCAGCCCTAGAAGCCTTCTCTCTCGTTCTTCTCCTTTTACTCATCTGTAACCCGCGCTTTCCCTTCGCCTATAAAAGGGGAAACAGGACGCCCCACGCTAGGAGATTGGAAACACAAGAGCACAACACGAGCACACGGCTGAACGGCAATCGAGCTCTCAACATCCATTCACTCCTCCCACTAGAGACTTGTGATTCTTTCTCTCTCTCGCCTGTTTGTAACCCTTACTGCAAACTAAATGCGGGTGACACGAGCAGCAGCGAACTGGACGTAGGGACATTCCGCCCGAACCAGTATAAATCCTTGTGTCCTCCGAGCACACCATCCAAGCTAGACGCGTAAATACAAATTTACTCGCCGGTGGTCCGAAAACACCGACACGCCGGTGGTCCGAAAACACCGACACGGTGTGTGGCTTGGACCAGGGAAAGTATGAGTTTCTACTTGTTTCTTATACTCTGATAACGCCTTGTTGATGACATCGCTCACGTTACCAAATTGTTATACAAAATTTTGGTGTGACCTGCGGGAGAGCACAAGTACACTGAGGTTAATAAACTCGAACAGGTGACAAAGAAAAATTGCTTAGCAACCCCACTTCAACCTTATTATTTTTTGCATAGGAGTAAATAAAGACTTGCCTTGCATGGTGTGGGTGTCGTAGCATCCCTAACAAGTCATGGTATACCAAGACCTGCATTAGAATAATAAGGGCATATCAGGCTTCATAAACAAACGTGTTATGCATCTGCGGATGTCGTAAACGACTGATATCGAAACGGTGAAGTGACTTTGCTCGACGAGTTCACTTATAGCATAATATATTCAACGAGTTCACTTGATGAAGCGACTAAATAATTAGAGTAGAGTATATGACTGATGGGTGATGGCATGTAGCCATGTACAACTATTGAATATGAACAAATCAACATCTTGTATCTGTGAGCAAAGCAATCTCTAGTACTCATTACAAAGTAAGAACAAACGAACCTGCCCACTACAGAATGGTCCAGCCCCAATGCCAATGGTTGGGATTTTCAATGCTGATGTTGCAGCGGCTGCCACTAGAACACGCACACACTCCAACACAACCGAGAAGCATCCAGCCTCCTGCAAGGCAAGTGCTGTCTCCACAACCTACACGAGCACAATAGCATGGATTGTATTATTGAAACCTATTACCAATCAGTCAGCACACCAATGGCGTACCAACAAATATATAGCCAGACCACAAGCAATGAGGAGCAGCACACCTTTACAGCACTGTCAACCGTCTTCCCTTCATCCCTTGAGGCCTAAATCCACCGAGCACACTAATAGCTTGCGGCGTGAGGCCAACATGCCCCATGACAGCAATTCCAGCCTCCACAATAGCCTTAGCTGCAGTGATCATCGATGGCGCACCCCCTTCCAGCTTGATTGCATCCATTCCACCTTCCTTCAGCACCCTCACAGCTGAATCAACAGCCTAAAAGAACATGAAAACACTATTAGTATTCCTCATACATGTGCATTTGGGCGTGCACATTGCTAATGCTAATATTGAAATGCTGATCTTGTTTTCTTTTTAGAATTTCGAGAGGTGCTTTTGCAGCATTATTTGGTTAAGCAAAACAGTGTTGTTGCTGAACATCTAATATATATTGAAATTGAATAAAAATCAATCCAATGGAGAGAGAGTTACAATTAGTGAATTATACTGTAAAGCAAGATGTTTCCTATCCAAATCTAACAAGCATCACATTTCTGCAGTGACAAAATGGAAATCACGGTACAACCTTCGACAGTGAGACGAACGCGATAGGCAAGTGCTGCATTGTGGCTTGTGGGCAGTGGCACCACCGCACCATTCTGCCCCATCACATGGGAATATCTGGTACAGAATGGAGGGGAGAGGCGCGCGATGTGGGGGCCGCGTACCTGCGCGGCGGAGGACTCGTAGCAGCCGAACGGGAGATCCCCGACGAGGAGCGGCCACGGCGCGGCAGTGCTCGAGCATGATGTCGAGCGTGATGGGGAGCGTGGTGTTGTGGCCGTGGACGACCATGGCGGCGGAGTCCCCGACGAGGCAGACGTCGATGCCCGCGGAGTCGACGTGGACCACCGAGGGGTAGTCGTAGGCGGTGACGACGGTGATGGGCTCCCCACGGCGGTGCTTCCCGCGGAGGGTGGTCACCGTCACGCGCCGCGCCGCCGCCGACTCCTGCGGGCGTGGCCCCCCGTAGACGGTGGACTCCAGCACGTTGCTCAGCAGCCGCCGCCGCGCCACCTGCCGTGCGAGGAGGGAGAGGGACCGCCGCATCGTGTCTTGTTGCCAAGCGGCGGGCGGCGGCGCGCGGTGGGAAGTGACGGGGACATGGGAGTGTTTGGAATTTGGAAGGTGTTTTTTTTATGGGAATTTGGAACGTGTTTTGTTGGGCGCATGATGTGTGTGTGTGACCAAAATTTGTTTAGAGGAAGGTAGGAAATTAGTTTGGCCTATGCTGACTAATTTATGAAAATCCAGGGTCCAGTGTTCAAATTTTTGTCTTGTCTCGACCCAGGCATCATCTTTTTTTTAGAGGAAGGTGGGAAATTTATTAATTATGATTGGCATCATTTACATCCAAGAAAATAGGTCTGTCATTTGAGTTTTATTTTATGCTAAAATTGCCTCCTCAAGCCTGGGCCGGAAATCTTTCCCTCTATTCACGTGGAGTGTTTTTTATATATATTTAGCCTTCTTTGAAAACCTTACTTATTTAGTTATTTTGCAAAGAGACTATAAAATCTATCCATAAATGATCAATGATCATAAACCTTGGTGTGTTAGGATGCAACACTATGCTATGTGGCTAGGGCCTATTTGGATCCTTTAGTCATTGGACTAAAGTTTAGACTAAAATTTAGTCCTTACCCTGTTTGGATCTGGGGACTAATGGTTATTAAAGTTGTTGTACAAAGACCAAAACACCCCTATGCGTTCGAGAATGATAGGGCTCAGGAGGGGGTAGGAGGTGTATTTTTTACCCTTCAGTCCCCTTTAGTGACCCCCCAGGGGACTAATGGGCTAATCCTTTTAGTCACCCTGTTTGGGTCTTTAGGAGCTAAAAGGAGTGACTAAACTTTAGTCACCTTGATCTAAACATGCCCTCGATTTAGTGGTGGACTACACCGAGGCCGAGCCCTGCCACATCAAGGACAAACCTGGATTGGCCTCAAGACCTCATGTTGTACACATTAACATCAAGCCACAGACATCAACGTTGCACAGCTCAATGGCGAGGTCTATCGACATTAGCTCAATGCTGGGTCCTTCCTCACCTCACATCTTCTTTCTTTTGGCACCACTTGCCTTCTCTCTCCCCTCACTCCGCCATTAACCCAAGGTCCCAAATCGATCCCACATGAGCCTAGGTTTTGCCTAGGGTCGCTTCCCTGAGGCAATCCCCTCTTCTCCTCTTCCATTTCGTCCATTTAATTTGGCATGGATTGGTTGTATATGGATGGAACCGTAGGCTCGAGGTGTTGGGTAGATTTTCCATTGTGTAATTGGCATATTGAGTTCCCCCCTCTCATGGGTGACATGTAGATTAGGGCTAGGATTGTGCAATGCTAAACATTTTTTTATTCTTCATGTATTTGTTTTATCGCCTCTCTTTCTTATAGGTAACTACATGTTATATGGTAAATAAAAAGAATAATGTATGGAAGTTAGGGTAACTTGTGCATATGAAAATTGTGTTAGAATGGCATTTATGGAATTTTTGTATATAAACATTCCAATGAAAAAAATGTGATTTTGAAAATGTTTATTTTTTTTAATAAATATAGATAATATGTTACCTATATTATTTGTATGGTTGTAGACGGATAAATTAGCCAGTGAGATTACATTATTGGGCTAATGTGTTGAGGACCAAAGATTATAGTGTGAATTTTCAGAACATGGCTGAGGATGTATTTGCTAATCGGTGAATCCCTTTGCTGACTGATTTGGTCAAACAAATGTGAAAGAGAAGTTTAGTTGGAGAGAATGTGACGTAGATGTAAAATTGGAAGGTGTGAAGTGTTATTCATGTAGGGTCGTCAAAAGGATAGTACAGATAAATATTCCCTCCATCCTAAAATACAAGATATCGAAAGTTCAAAATTCCTCCCAAATTATAAGGTATCCTGGATTGTTCAATTCCATCCACATGTGCATACCTTTCAAGCCACATCCATGTATACCTTTTAAGCACCACCTTGCCCAAAATTATGATGATTGGTAGCCATCATGCATGCATTTTCAAACTATGTGTCACTAAAAATTAATTAAGTTGATAACCAAACTAACTAATTAGTGAGGGGCAAGTTAGCATTTTAACAGACACCTTATTTGATCCTTAAATTGCTTACACACCCCTTACATTTTAGGACACAGGGAGTGGTTAAATTGAGTTGGATCTTTACAAGGCAGTAGTTTTGGACTTGGAAATAAGATATATAGATTAATTGGTGTGTAAGGTTTATATATAGTGATAGAATTATCTCCACGTACCAGCATTCCTACTTTGGTGTGTGGCCCAAATTTACACCAAGAACTATTATCATATTTGTCATGCTCGCAACAACTTGCTCAATCTCAAGTATTTTACTTCATCTGTCACTAAATAATAACTTAAATCCTAAAGAGTTATCTTAAGTTAATTTTTTATATATTTGGCTGAATTTATAGAAATATAAAACATAAATACTTATGACACCAGATGAGTACATTATAAAAATATGTTTTATGATTTGTCTAATGAGACCTTGTTCGGATGTAGTCCGATTCACATTAATCCACATGTGTTGGATGGACTGGAGTGAAACTTGAACTAAATTCCACCCTAATCCACCTAACCACACGTGAATTGAGTTTGAATCCGATAACATCCAAACAAGGCCTTATACTAATTTGGTGTCATAATAAATTCTTGCCATTTTCTAAATTCGATCAAACTTAAATTTTTATTAAACTTCAACAACTTTAAGAATTGATTTATTGAAGAACGACGGGAGTATATGTTTTAAGTTCCCCATTAAACTGCAGCATCCCCAGCATTGCTCAAGATGCCGTCATTGATGTTATCCCCCTCCTGTGGCATTCCATCGCCTACATTTTTTCTGTTTTTGCAGCAGCGGCGGCGGCGGCTGCAGCTCCATCGAAGCCGATGTTTCGCAGCGCGTCCGCGAAGGCATCGACGTCCACGGAAGATATCTTGTAGGGCGTGTGGTCAGCGTCCGGGAAAGCCCGAGCCTCCACTTGCTGCCGGTACTCGGCGAGCGCCATGCCGATGGCGGCGCCGACGTCGCCAAACTGCTTGCCATACTTGGGCGTGACCTTCGAGTGTTCTGGGCTCTGGAACATCCCCAGCAAGTCGTGGTAGACTAAAGCCTGCATGCAACAAACAGTGAACAGGCCAGAACAGAAAACGTGAAAAAAAAATTGTAGGATGACAGTGGATATATAGTGTAGCTTGCTAGGTTGACCTGGCCACTGCATAAGGGTCCAGCCCCGACGCCGATGGTTGGGATTTGTAGTGCTGCAGTGGCAGCTGGTGCCACCGGAGCGGGCACGCACTCGAGGACGACCGCGAAACACCCGGCGTCCTGCAGCACGAGCGCCGCCTCCACGACCTTGAGAGCGCCGTCGACCGTCTTCCCCTGCGCCCGGAAGCCGCCGAGCACGCTGATGGCCTGCGGAGTGAGGCCGACGTGCCCCATCACGGCTATCCCGGCGTCCACGATCGCCCTCGCCGCGCCTCCTTCCATCTTCACCGCGTCCACTCCGCCTTCTTTCATCAGCCTCACCGCCGATTCCACAGCCTATATGTACGTATACGTATATAAAAAATGACGGATACGGTTTCAGAAGGCGTACGTCTTGCATTGGGAGAGTGTGCATGGTCGGGTCATCGATCGATCAGGTACGTACTTGTGCGGGCGAGGACTCGTAGGAGCCGAAGGGCAGGTCGCCGACGACGAGCGGCCTGGGCGCGCCGCGCACGACGGCGCGGCAGTGCTGGAGCATGATGTCGAGGGAGACGGGGAGGGTGTTGTCGTGGCCGTGTGCGACCATCGCGGCGGAGTCGCCCACGAGGACGACGTCCACCCCTGCGGAGTCCACGTGGACCACCGACGAGTAGTCGTACGCGGTCACCATGCTGATGGGCTCCCCGCGGTCGTGCTTCCCGCGGAGGGTGGTCACCGTCATGCGCCGCGCCGCCGCCGACTCCTGCGGGCGTGGGCCCCCGTGGACGGTGGACTCCGGCATGTTGCTCAGCAGCCGCCGGCGCGCCACCTGCCATGCCATTGCCAGGAGGAGGGTCCGCCGCATCGTGTCTTGTTGCGAAGCGGCGGCACGCGCTCGGGTGGAGGGAGGAGTGGTTTTTGTGTGGGTGTGGGTGGGGAGCGACGGGGACGGGGACGGGAAGTTTGGAATTCGGAAGGTGTTTGGTTGCACATATTTTTTTTAGCGGTCATTCATCAGGACGTTGGTGAGCGATTCCGCATGCGTACCAGCCGCCCACCTTCTCTGTTCCCTTTCTCATCGTCTTTAAAGAAATAAGAAAATATTTATTTTAAATTGTTATAACTTTTAAACCATGTATCTATTTTTAATTCGGGAAAGTTATACGTCGCTCGAGTATTTTTTGGGCTCCGCACACTCGATTTGTCATCCATCGGATCTGCCCTGTGAACGGCGGAGCAAGCGATCGCGGGTTCCTAGGGGTCGTGGTCAGGCGTGGCCTGTGCCGCTGTGTGTGCGACTGCATGTGCATCTGACCCGGTCCAGGTGCAGCCTGTAGGCGGCAGGTGCAGGTGCATGCACCCCCGTCACATCAGCTAGCCCCTATACCCATGTATGCATGCTAATTTATTCTTTTAGTAGACGCAGATTACAAGCATTTTTTACTATTTCTGTTTGAGTATAAAGGGGTGTTTGGTTCTTTAGTCGCTTCTAAAATTTATGTCACATTAAATATTTAGAGGTTAATAAAGAGCATTAAATATAAATTAATTACAAAATCAATTACATAGATGGAGGCTAATTTTCGAGACGAATTTTTTAAGCCTAATTAATCTATCATTAGCACATATTTACTGTAGCACTACGTTGTCAAATCATGGACTAATTAGGCTTAAAAGATTTGTCTCGTAAATTAGTCGCAAGTTGTGCAATTAGTTTCGTAATTAGTCTATATTTAATACTCCATGCATGTGTCCAAATATTCGATGTGACAGAAATTTTAGGAGTAGGGGAAGGAACCAAACAGGGCCTAAGCTCTACGTTTA